AGAAACCTTAAACTATCACCATATGGACATAAAACAATCTTAAGTAAGTCTATTTGTGGGTAGGCATGTATCCACGAGTATTTGAATTTTCATACTTACACACAGCACATGTGTACATCACAATATACCAAGCTCACAGTTGAGCATCTTTATCCTATAAGTCTGGGCAAGGACCCAGGGGTGGGGGCGGTGGGGGAAGCAACAGCGCAAAGCAATAGCTCCTCCTTCAGGGGGAGGAGGGATCAGGGGAGAGGAGGACCAACACCACGGGGAAGGGGCAGCTCCTCCTCCAGGGGGAGGAGGGGACAGAGGTTCAGGCAGATCTGAGCACAGAATGGCCACTGGAGTAGGAAGGGGATGTGGAGGGGACAGGAAGAGGTGAGATCTGGACACAGGCTACTGTGGAAACCAGAAACCACATCACAGACTGAAAGGACTGCTAGGTCCTGAAAGAGGGGCAGCTGGGCCAAAGTTCTGCAAGATGGAGATTTAGATGAAACTGCCTTAAAAGAAGCCACTGAGCTCAATCTAACTTTATCTAGTAAGGGAAACCATTTCCTCTTCTGCAATAAGGGGAGATAAACCCCATATCTAAGTGCTATGAAAACTCTTCCGGAAACCAAAGCACCCCTTCCAACATGCGTGTGGACAAAGGGGGTGCAGTACAGTTACCTGAGTTTACAGACTGTCTGTGTGTGCTTTAAATTTAAAAAACAAAACACATTTTTGATGGTTGAATTTCTTATCCAAAGGTTTTTAGCACTTCACTAGATACTAAACCAAAATGGTGAGGATGGCTGGCCATTAAAGAAAAAGAGAATGGACACAATTGTTTAGCTCCTTTCTTAAATTCTCTAAAGTCCCTCAGATATGAAATGTATACTGTCCCACTCAGCACTTTTAAGCCAGCAAAACAACCATATACAGTCGATAACAAATGAAAGGAAGGGAGAATTTACCTGATGTTTTTGTCCACTGTGTAAAGCTCAACTAACGATACCTAACTTTCTAGGATAACAAATACTAGATCCTAAATGGGAGAGTCTACACTTTAAAAATTCTACTTCATCAGAATCACAACTCTCCCCTGAATCACAAAACAACTTCAAATGGCATTCTGCCATACTGCTCATGTTAAAATAACGCCAGGGGAGTTACTGATAGAACACTGTTGTCATAATTCCTTCCTAAGCAAAGCTTAAGGCAGCTAAAACAATGGGAGAACAAAATCCAAATGATGAGAACAGTGGATGCAGTGAGAACACTGCCCACCGCTGGCATTCCTGACTGCGTGTGCCTGCTCTGTATTCTCCACATGGGGCCCTGCCTATCAGCCTCGCACTGGCACCAAAGCGGGGACGCTGTGATCACTGTTCCCATTTGACAGATGAGAAAAGCGAGGCACAGAGGTGGATTAAAAGAATACTAGATTTACCTGGTGAAATTATGAAAATTATAGTCTTCGAAGTCACCAGCACACACACAAACAGAATAAGGAAAACAAATACTCATCTCAGTTATAAAACCAAATTCTGAAAGTCTCTGATATTTGACTATACTGTGTTCTCCAAGCTCAAGCAGACAAGTCATTCCCCCCATGAGGTAAAAACAAGAGGGCCCTAGAAAAGTGGTGGTATTACTAAATCATCACAGGAGTTTTACACACCCCAAATACAGAAGTTCTTTCATTTTTAAAACTGCACCTATACCAACTGCTCAGAGCAAAGACAAGTCTGTTCATGGATCAGAGAGGAATCCATCATCCTTCACACGAAGTCAGCCAAAGCCTGGGAATGTGACTGGGTGAATCTACACTCAGTCCCTGAACTTTTGGTCTTATGAAATCATGACACAAAGACTCTTCACTGCTTACACTGCCACCTGATTCTAATTTGCCGAAACAATTAACACAATCAACTTGGGCTGCAAATTCCAGCCCAAATGCAGTCAACGTAGGATATTCCAAGTCATGGCTGTGCGTGATCAGCAGAGCTTATATTCGTGGCCTAAACTGACTCTATTGAAAAAAAAAAAAAAAAAGTAAATTTAAAACACTACAATCTAACTTCCATTTAAATGGATAACAAATAATAACTGTTAGGAAGCCAGGACAACATGGGCAGAAGGGCTGGTGAGTTGCAAGGGCCGCCCTTGCCCCTTGGGGAGGCACCCTCCAGCCCATGGAAAGATGTGGTCCTCACCCACATGCACATGACATCATCTTCTATGGAGGCAGGAAGGGGGTGGGGATGCTGCTGCGGAGGGGGACAGCCGAGGCTGCAGTCACCAGGTCTGGGGGGGCGAGTCCAGACCCCATGTTGAGCCGTGCTCTCGGGGCAGGTTTCTGTGAAGCCTCAGGGCCCTCCCACGTAAAACAGCGGTGATGAAAAGATCCACCAGGACGGCTGTAAGGAGGAAGTAAACTAACACACACAAAGCTTGGATTCACATATGTGGGATGAACAGAGGGCTTGTTACACATTTGCTGTTATCTCATCATCAGCACGGCGCAGATCATGTTTCAGGGGGAAAGGACAAACCGATAGAAAGCTGACACTGTCTGCCACTGGGCTGCTGAAACAAATTAATAATACTCATCAGAGCTCATCAACCCTAACATACGTACACCCATTCCACAGGTAGCTTTTTAAATTGCCCCTAAAAGAGAACTAATAGTCTAAATTATTTATATCTTGATTCCTTCTAGGATAAATATATTAAGGGCATTTGCCCCCAGTGTGAGTTTTCTCATTACCAATTACATCCTGGTTATTTTCTACTCTGCTCTATTGGATGTACGTACGACTTCTGAAGCCCAAGATGGATACAGACAGCCAAGAACCATCCTGCATCAGATCCACCCATGTCTTCTTCTAAAATCCATCCGTGGGACTTCCTTGGTGGGGTCCAGTGGTTAAGAATCCGCCTTCCAATGCGGGGGACTTAGGTTTGAGCTAAGATCCCACATGCCTCAGGCGACTAAGCCTGTGCATCACAACCTCTGAGCCCGAGCACCACAATGGAGACCCAGTGCAGCTAAAATTAAAAAGAAAAAAATTCACCCCTGACTGTCCCGTTTCTTCTGTCTTTGCCCCAGTTCAAGTATCATCATCTCAGATTCTGACAGTGGCATCCTGACAGATCTCCCTGCCGGTCCACTCAATCCAACTCTGTGCTTTCAGACAGACACAGATCCTATCTTTGAGGGAATAAGTGGTGCTGGAAGGCCTCTGGTCACATCATTTTGCTGCTTCAAAACTAGCCACTTACCTGAAGATTAAAAGACACTTAAGAAGGGAGGTGGGAGGGGCGATCAGGATGGGGAATACATGTAAATCCATGGCTGATTCATGTCAATGTATGACAAAAACCACTACAATATTGTAAAGTAATTAGACTCCAACTAATAAAAATAAATGGAAAAAAAATAAAAGATACTCAAGAAAGATACCAACCAATAAACAAACTGTACCCAAAAACTTTAATTTTCATGATATGAAAGAATTATGTTTTGAGGTTTGATGATAATACTGTGGCTTTTTTTTTTGAGTCTATCTTTTAAAGATAAAAATACATATCAAAACAATTATGGGTGAATTGATATGTCTGGATTTCCTTCAAAATAATCTACTGGAGGTGGAGTAAGAGATAAAGCACTGTTGGTGATCAGTGGATAGTGTGGCATGATGAATCCATGAGGGTCTGTTTTATTACCATGTCACTAATACTGTGAACATTTGTGATTTTCCATAATAAAATGTAATTGAAAAGGAAAAGCACTCATTTCCAGTTGCATAAGGAAGCAAGAATCACTTTTTTAACACACGTTCACAAGCTAATGTGACTATGACCTACCTCTTCTCTTGACCCCACAACATGCCAGGCCACTCGCACTAAACTTGCCACAGTGTTCAAAATGTGTGGCCAGGCCCCTCCCCTCTCTGTGCCCCTGTATAAATAATTGTCTTCTGCCAAGAAAGTCTCTCAAGGCCCCAGACACACCAGGAGACGTAGTACAAAGGGCCACTTCCCCCAGACCCTCCCCTGCGCCCCTGCCGTGCAAACCTATAGTCTCCGTCATTCTGGTTGCTTAGTTTTTGTTGTTGCTGTTTTCCATTTTTTTCTGTTTGTACTTCTACCAAAAGATTATAAAATCTCCTTAAGGGCAGATGCTGTATCTTATTTATTTCCATAAAGACTCCTTACAATATAAATGAAAAGTAGTAATTATTTAGTAAGTGCCTTGAAAAACAGGAAGAGAAGTCAACAGAACAACCATCACTCATGGCAAACATTATCAGCAGAATTGTGTCTATTAGATCAGAACTTCCACATCCTTAATACACCAATATTTATCTACTGCATGCTTATCACATTCTTAAGAAACTAGTTGCCATTGTTTCAAGGAGAGTGTGACACACCTTAAAAAGAATACCAATATGATTTAAGGAGGAAACTAAGCCTGGGGAGGCATGGGCAGCTTATTTTCCTGTTGGGGGTCCAGTGGTTAGGATTCTGCGGTTTCACCACTAGGGCCCAGGTTCAATAGCTGGTTGGGAAACTAAGATCCCACATGCCACAGGGTGCAGTCAAAAAAAAAAAAAAGACAAGTCAAAATATGGCATCTATGCTATCATTACATCTCATGTGGTGTGATGGTGGGAATATATGCATTTTGTTCCTTTGGAAAGACTCCAGTCCAGACTATTTCTCACTTCTGAACAATAAAAGTCAAAATACTCCATAATGTTAAATACCATCTCTGAACTACATGAGAGACACATAAATGCATATGCGGACTTATCAGCAAAGGGCTGCAAACTTTTACTTTATGACCGGAAACAGCTGAAATGCTTCCCATTGCTACAGCATGCAATAAAAGTTAGTGCAAAATTAAGTAACACTGACTTAACAAGGTGTCCCTAGTAATTCACTGACACTCTCAGTGCATCATTTAGCTGCCATGTTACGCACAGTTCAAAGAAAAAGGAAGCACCTACTAGTACAAAACTTCATTGGCTTCGTGTCTTTCGTATCTCACAGTTTCACACATCAACCTGTAAAACAAAAAATGAAGACTTGAGTTCACCATTTGTCACTGAAAAACACACTGATAGTTTTAAATTGTAAATGAGACATTATGTAGAAAATTAAGATTATGTCTATGAATTGTCACGACCATTTATTGGCCTCAAGGTAAACATTTATGGTACTTAGGTTAACAAAATAAAATGAAATCTGGTAAAGAAATGCTTGAAAAGAAACATTTTGTTAGATGTCAGCTTCACCAGGTTTATTTCATAGAGAACAAAATTGTATGTATTTTTTGTAAAGGACATGTGGACAAATTAATGTTCTCCAAGGTAAATAGAAAATGAAAAGGAAGCTGAAAACCAAAAAGGAAAACCTATTAATTTAAAAAGTGATAACGTCATCCACAGTTGAACACTGATGTTACTTAACAGTATGGAATTTCAGACAAAAGTAGGCTTTCATTAAAGTCATTATTTTTATGACTAAAATGACTAAACAGATGCTTTATAACTTAAAGATTTGTTATTTCAGCTGATTCATCTATGGAGGGAAAAGTATGAAAATTATGGAAAACATGAATGTTTAAATATTCAAAATTACCTCAAGAACAGCATCTTCAAAAAGCATCTTATTATATTAAGCCCGAGTAAAATGTCCCAAAAGTACAGATATGCAAAAGAGAAAATGACTATTTCTTCCTAAGGAGAGACTAAGAAGGAATAAAAAGGACTGGCTACAAAAGTGATTCTTTCAACTGCATCTGCAGATTGGAGCTACCAACCTCCAATCTGTGAAACACTGGGATCAACACACACAGATACGTTCCCTGTCTGCAAACTCCAAACAATGCCACTCTTGATATTTTCTTTCACTTGAAAACAACTCTCCTGAGTTCTCTTTTGCCTTGCTCTTCCTGCGACCACCACCCTACTTCAGAGTCCCTCTGAGTCTCAACCCCGATCCCGAAACATTCACTGAACTCCAGGAGGCAGCATGGATCCTTGAACACACATTAAACACAGTTTTAAGTGACTGAATCACACGAATTCTTCCCAGGAAGGGATGAGAGACTTAAGTAATGGGTCTAAAAATACCAGGTCTTAAATTATATAACAGGCTCTGCCCTGTTTCCTGTCACATCTTCTCCAAGATCTCAGTCCTTCCACAGTGGATCCTGGGCTCCTGCACGCTCATCTCCTCCCTCACCATCACCCGTTTCTCCCTCTTTCCTGAACCGCTTCCTTTGATACATAAATACACCTTATGTCCATCGCCCATACAGAGGTAGGGGACACCCTTGACCCCACAGCCCCTCCAGCTACTATCCACACTCTGCTTTTCCCATGATGGAAATTCTCTTTTAGAGTGGTCTACGTAAATAAACTGTCTCCATTCTCTCATCCTCCTCCCACTCCTCCATCACCAGGTCCCTGAAACTCAACAAAAAAACAAAAAACAAAAACCCCTAAGGATTACAGCAACCTCTCTGTTGCCTAAGTCTTTTCTGAACTTGTATCAATTCCACTTCTCAGTAGCATGCGATGACTCCCTTTTCCTTACAGCATTATCTTGTCTATGTCTCTTGGTTTTCCTCTTACTCAATTCAGTTCAGTTGCTCAGTTGTGTCCGACTCTTGGCGACCCCATGGACTGCAGCACGTCAGGCCTTCCAGTCCATCACCAACTCCGAGAGTTTACTCAAACTCATGTCCACTGAGTCAGTGATGCCATCCAACAATCTCATCCTCTGTCATCCCCTTCTCCTCCCGCCCTCAATCCTTCCCAGCATCCGGGTCTTATGAAATGAGTCAGCTCTTCACATCAGCTGGCCAAAGTACTGGAGCTTCAGCTTCAGCATCAGTCCTTCCAGGGAATATTCAAGACTAATTTCCTTTAGGATGGACTGGTTGGATCTCCTTGCAGTCCAAGGGACTCTCAAGAGTCTTCTCCAACACCACAGTTCAAAAGCATCAATCCTTCAGTGCTCAGCTTTCTTTAGAGTCCAACTCTCACATCCATACATGACTACTGGAAAAACCATAGCTTTGACTAGACGGACCTCTGTTGGCAAAGTAATGTCTCTGCTTTTTAACATGCTGTCTAGGTTGGTCATAATTTTTCTTCCAGGGAGCAAGTGTCTTTTAATTGCATGACTGCAGTTACCATCCGCAGTGATTTTGGAGTCCAAAAAAATAAAGTCTGTCACTGTTTCCACTGTTTCCCTATCTACTTGCCATCAAGTGATGGGACCAGATGCCATGATCTTAGTTTTCTGAATGTTGAGCTTTAAGCCAACTTTTTCACTCTCCTCTTTCACTTTCAACAAGAGGCTCTTAGTTCTTCTTCGCTTTCTGCCATGAGGGTGGTGTCATCTGCATATCTGTGGTTATTGATATTTCTCCTAGCAATTTTGATTCCAGCCTGTGCTTCATCCAGCCCAACATTTCTCATGATGTACTCTGCAAACAAGTTAAATAAACAGGGTGACAATATACAGCCTTGACATACTCCTTTCCGGATGTGGGACCAGTCTGTTGTTCCATGTCCAGTTCTAACTGTTGCCTCCTAACCTGCAAAAAAAGGTTTCTCAAGAGGCAGATCAGGTGGTCTGGTATTTCTACCTTTAAGAATTTTCCAGTATGTTGTGATCCACACACTTAAAGGCTTTGGCATAGTCAATAAAGCAGAAGTGGATGTTTTTCTGAAACTTTCTTGCTTTGTCGATGATCCAATGGATGTTGGCAATTTGATCTCTGACTCCTCTGCCTTTTCTAAATCCAGCTTGAACATCTGGAATTTCATGGTTCATGGACTGTTGAAGCCTCGCTTGGGGAATTTTGAGCATTACTAGTAAGATTAATGCAACTGTGTGGTAGTTTGAATGTTCTTTGGCATTGCCTTTCTTTGGGATTGAATGAAAACTGACCATTTCCAATCCTGTGGCCACTGCTGAGTCTTCCAAATTTGTTGGCATATTGAGTGCAGCTCTTTCACAGCATCATCTTTTAGGATTTGAAACAATCCAACTGGAATTCCATCACCTCCACTAGCTTTGTTCATAGTGATGCTTCCTAAGGCCCACTTGACTTCACATTCCAGGATGTCTGGCTCTGGGTGAGCGATCATACCATCGTGATTATCTGGGTCGTGAAGATCTTTTTTGTACAGTGCTTCTGTGTATTCTTGCCACCTTTTCTTAATGTCTTCTGCTTCTTTTAGGCCCATACCATTTCTGTTCTTTATTGTGCTCACCTTTGCATGAAACAGTCTCCTGGTATCTCAAATTTTCCTGAAGACAACTCCAGTCTGTCCCACTCTGTCGTTCTCCTCTGTTCCTTACTAACCATTTTTCTGTCTCCTTTGGAGTCCCTGCCCCTGCCCATTCCTCGACCTGACTTACTTTTTTCGGCCACGTCACGGGGTTTGTAGGATCTCAGTTTCCTGACCAGGGATTGAGCCCAGACCCCCGCAGTAACACTGCAGAGTCCTAACCACTTGACCACCACGGAAGTCCCTACTTGACTTCTAAATGGACCGCCTCCAGGGGCTCAGTCCTCTTCTCCTCTGCACCATGTAACCTCATCCAGTTTGTGATTTTTAACTTCCCATAAACTGATGGCTTCCAAAGCCACGCCCCACCTCTACCCCTCACTGTGATACGCACTCTTCTAAATGCCTACTTCGTATAATAGCCATTTCATCTTCAAAACGTCCAAAGCGATTTTAAATTCCTACCCCACAAACCTGCTGTCCCCCAGTCAGAGCCCAGCTGTTTGGGCCAAAAACTCTGGAGGCATCATCCTTGACTCCTCTTTTCTTCACATCCCGTCTTTCCACCAGCTCCTGTTTCCAAAAGACATCCTCCCAAGCTGACCACGTTCACCACCCACCTGTGAAAACCTGCCATCAGTCATCACGCTCACATGCTCAGTCACTCAGTCTTGTCCGACTCTGTGGCCCCATGGACTGTAGCCTGCGAGGCTCCTGTGTCTATGGGATTATCAAGGCAAGAATGCTGGAGTGGGTTGCCATTTACTCCTCCAAGGGATCTTTCCAACCCAGGGACAGGACCCAAGTTTCCTGCAGCTCCAGCACTGGCAGGCGGATTCTTCACTGCTGAGCCATCTGGGAAACCCGTCTAAGCCATCATCCCTCTATGATCGCCTACGAGGACGACCGAGGTAGTCTCTGCTTCTCTTCTGCACACCTGTTGCCTTTAGGTGTTCTCCCGACACACAGTCACACACCTCACACCTGCTCTTAATCTCCGCTGTCTTCAGGAGAAAATCCAAGCCCCTGTCCTTGAATACACAGCCCTGAGCTGTTAACCGCACCGAGCATCCCGACCTACACTCACCTTCCCATGGCTCCTGCCTGCTCCTACCCAGAGCATCAGGACCCATCAGCACCGTGGGGATCCCTAAGCAGGTGAGCCAACACAACTGCTCCCTCTTTTTGACCACAAAGTCAGAGCAGCCCAACATGCTAACATCTGACTGAAACAACAACGGTCCACACAACTAAGTCCTGTCTGCCCCACGAGCAACACAAGCTCCGTGGCGGCAGGGGTCCGGTTGACTTCACTGCGCATACCCACAGCCGACCTGATTTCCAGCACAGAGCGGGCATGCAGGCGACAATTGCTGACTGCATAAATCAGCCTAACCAACACCAACAGAAGATCAGGACAAAATCATCTCTATGACAATGCTGTCAATCATGGGAGAAGTACAAAAATAATTTTTTTTTAAATGCTGTTAATGGAATGTTTGATCTTCCCCGAATTCCTAAAGAATATACTAGCCACATTTTAGTTGTCCCTTAATGTCTAAAATTGCCTGCGTAATAATAATTATGCTCCTCCATAATGCTGAAGAATGTATACATGGACACACACACATAGACTATATACAACTATATATATACAGTTTTGTGTATGTGTGTATATTCCTCCCCCGCCGCCCAGCAAGCTCTTGTTTCCAACACTGAATGGCCGAAGTTACTCTGCTTTTTAAAGATATTTTGGCCTCAACTCCCAACTGGAGTTTCCTCCTCCCCTTTGGCAAATATGCCGCTTCTAATCCATATGGATTAAGGGAGTGAACATTAGAAAAATGACGCTGCATGGGAAAGACATCCAGGTTTTCAGTGAAGCTCAGAAACCTCAGATTGTGTAGAGTGCGCGACCTGATAGCAACACAGCCAACTGACTGCACGTGACCAAGCGCTCAGGATCCATGCCCTAGATGCCCCACCGTGAACCAAGCGGGGCTCCCGAGGAGGAACGCCTCCCCTCCTGCACCCCCAGATACCAGTGTCCTGCTGCCCAGTACTGAGGAAACAGACTTGGAAAATCTTACGAGTGTCTTTTTTTTTTTCCCCTAAATTTGGAAAACTGCATTACATGTAAGTCTTAACTGCTCTCTATCAATCCCACAGGGAAAACTTTTATTTATAAAATTCAAAGGAAGTAACATCTAAATAAGATGTACTTTTCCCAGAAATGGTGGTTACTACAAAGCAGTTTATCCAAGTCATTGAGTTTATCTGTACCTCTTTTCTCGCTATTGTTCATTTTGGTGTTCCAATCTTGTTCTAAAAAAGGACTTAGTTTCAGCTAATGTTTCCCACAAATATGAGAAACAAACGACTTTTCAACATAAGCAGAACAAGATACACATCCTAAAGGTGTCTCCTTTTAAGTTCATGCCAACAAAGTTGAATGATCTCCAAAATGGACTTTTTAAGGTACAAATACACTAAACTATACTGTTGAAGTAATCAGTTATTTCCAGCCAAAATTTACTTTTGAAACAGTAGGAAATTTGATGGTTCTGAGGCAGGTTAAGGGGTGTATGGGGCTTTATTATATTACGTCTACTTTTTTAATATTGAAAATCTTCATAAGATGTATTAAAATTTTCCTCTTTTTATTGCATAGAATTACTATTACCTTAAATAATTTTATGACCACATATACTACAGACACACATTATATAATATAATCTAATTATCGAAATATTACCCATGTGAATTTTTATATGCATATGGCAAAGTAACATTTGCATTTGTATATTAATCAATTTGAATTTTCAGGTTAACTGCACTCAGTAAAACAGATAACTGGCACTACAGGCTTTTCCTAGGATAGCTGCCATCAAAACTCATAAAATTAAAATTTCACACTTTAGAAATTATCCTCGCTTTAATTTGAGCCATCTTCTAAATTCCCAGTGGTTTGGCCCTTTCTAATAAAACTTGACTGAATTTTTAAACACTTAACCTACAATTTATTTTAAATGATTTTCATTAAAAATTTAATTTTAGAAATATTCAATCCTCTTGATATGTTTTTCAATTAACAACTAAATATGAAATTGACATGCTCAAAAATTAATTAGTGTTTAAAGAGTAAAAGGGAAATACATAGAAAAAGTATTCTTTTCATAATTAAAAACTGCTGGTATCAAAAGTATCTGGAGATGGAGGAAACAGAATTTTCCCATAACTTCCTAGCTGGTGTTTATATGCTATCCATCTTCCCAAGGTCCTTTCTTTTCTGTTCCAGTTAATCACTAGATTATACAAGATGTTTTGATCTTTTAGAATAAGCCCAGAAAACCATAAATAAGGCTGCTGTGTTGCTGAAGAAGAGAAGTGATAAGATTTTTACGAGTTGACTCGCATAAAACCAACTATGGTATAAAGTGAGTTTCCCAGAAAAGGGCAGACAACTTAATGCAATAAATATATTCCATACAAAGACCTAAAACAGTGAGCCGAGTCATTCTCTGAACAGTTAAAAACATTCTGGTTTCATATGTATGAGTGCTAAGAAATTGATTTTTATTTCCCAGGATGGCAAATAGTGCTCCTTTGGTGGATTCACCAAGTGGTATTTATTACTTTAGGTGAGATGATAGACAGGAAGGAGAGAGGTGATCACTCTGGCAGAAATGTCAAAAACTACCATATGGATGTAAAACTTACAAGGCCAAGCACAGAGGCCAGATGAGGCAGAGTGTTCAGAAGTAAGTTATCTTTAATCCTGCTTCTACAGGATAATAAATGATCACACTAAACTCTCACATCCCACTGTCATTCATCTTAAATTGACTCACCTAAGCTGATGCTCTCTCAGGTTGGACAAGGCTTCCATCCCGTGTAAGTAGGAATACACTATTTCCAAATCCTGTTTGAAAAAAAAGGACAGGAATTATTAGACTTGTCAGAAAAAGAGGCTTCTAAGATAAGTCATTATATTTACAGGCCAAATTAAAGATAGCTTTTTTCCAAATACAAGTTTTTTAGACATCAAAAATCACATTTATATCAAGAGAAATCCTGGGCCTACACAATGTCATCCATCACAACTGCTTTTGGGACACATACAATGGCCATAAAAATATAAATGACATTGGCTCAAAGTTATGAAAATAAATTCCTCATAAGTTATTACCAATTATTTTCTGGCTTTAACAGTAAAATATCAAAAGTAAGATTTTAATTGTAAAGTATAAATATTTGCCAATTCAGTCATTATTTTCTTAATTAATGCATGTTACTTCATGCCTACACTTAAAGATGAGCATGAATCCAATTTTTCTTTTCAATTCTTACCAAGTGACATTACTTACATGCAGAAATATTTAAATTTAAATATTCTTTTCTTTAAAAGAGACACATGCCTTGTTTTCCCAGATCATGTTACAATATGTAGAAAAAAAGAGCCCCAGTAATCATTGAAAGTTAGAACAAGTAAAGATTCAAAATCCTGTTTATATTGATTTACAAGCAAGGAACCTTTACTGATTTACAAGCAAGGTTCCTTTACAAGCAAGGAACCAGCATTTTTTTTTTAATTGCAGTACAGTAGATATATAATATTATGTAAGTCTTAGGTGTACATGAGTTAGTATTTTAAGACTCCAATAAATAGTAGCTTCTGATCTCAAGAATATGAAAAGATATTTACTCCTCCTCCAAATCTTGACCAAAATCTAAAACAAACATGTTTTTAAATATCTGTAAAATTATCCTCTTCCTTTTTTAAACAAAAGCCCTATTGAGATATTTACACATTTTTTCTGGTGGGAGACCAGAGGACCAGGTAGGGGGTGCAAAAACCTCCACCCCCACCCCACACTGAGGCGACACCTCCTTCTAGAGAGTTGATGTAAGCAGGCCCAGGGGTTCTCAGATATGCTAGAACTCAAGATTTATCACTTGTGAATAATTCCACGGTTTGTCTTTGCCAAACACCATCATAATTCCTGGCATTTTACCACCCAAAAAACAACCCCATAACCATTAGTACTCTCTCCCCATCCTCCCTTCCCCTAGCTCCTGGCAAGCATTAATCTATTTTGTGCCTACGGAACTGCCTATTTTGGACATTTCATGTAAATGGAATCTCACAGTGGAATACACGCTCTTTTGTGACTGGCTTCTTTCTCTTGGCCTAATACCTTCAGGGTTCATCTCCCCTGCAGCAGATAATGATACTTTCCTTTGTATCGCAAAATAATATTCCACAGTAGGCAGATGCCACATGTTGTTTATCCATTCATCAGCTGGTGGACATTTGGGCTTTTCCTGCTTTACAACTGGCGTGAATAATGCTGTTATCAGCTCTCGTGCATACATTTCTGCTTGCACACCTGTCTTTAGCTCTCATGGGAATGTATATACCTGGAGGAGAACTGCTCATTCATAAGATAACTCTTGTCTTTAGCTTGTTTACCTAAGTGGCTAGGTCACTTATAATCCTATCAGCAGGTTCTGAGGACTCTAATTTCTCCACATACATCCTTATCAACACTGATGTCTGTCTTTTCTATTTTAGCCTTCCTAGGTGCGTTTCAAAGTGTTGATTTGTATTTCCCTAATGACAATTTTTCATGTGCTTACTGGCCATTTACACGTCTTTGGGTAAATATTCAATTCTTTGTTCACTTTTTAATTGGCTATTTGTCTTCATCATCGCATATTAAGGATTGTTTATGTATTCTGGACAGAAGGCCCTCTCCAGACACATTATTGGGTAACACTGTCTCCCTTTCAGTGGGCTGTCATTTCACTTTCTGGGATAGTGCCCTTTGAAGCACAGGGGTTTTTTTTTGTTGTTTTTTGTTTTTCAGGGTTTTTAATTCTGATGAAGTTCAACTTTTCTACTCTTCTGTTATGTATGCTTTTATAGTCAGATTTAAGAAATGGTTATCTGATCCAAGGTCACAAAGATTTATTAATATATTTGCTTCTACATAGAGTTTCTTCTTCTACAGTCGTAGCTTTTATGTTTAAGTCTATACTCTGTTTTTATTACATATACAGTAAGGTAAGCACTCAACTTCATTCTTTTACATGTAGATATCCAGTTATCTTATCATCCTTTGTTGGAACACACTATTGTTTCCCCAGTGAACTGTATCGTTACCCTTGCTGAAGATCAATGGATCACAAATGTCAGTATTTATTTCTGTACTCTGAGAGCTATTCCATTGGTCTACAAGTCCGTCCTCATGCCAGAACCACATAAGGTCTCATTTATGCAGCTTTGGAGCAAGTGTGAAATCAGAAATTGTGAATGTTTCAACCTTATTCTATTTTCTTGGGTACATGTGAATTTTAGAATCAGCTTGTAAATCTCTGCAGAAAAGCCAGCTTTAAAAAGGATTGCAATGAAACTAAAGATCAATTCAGGTAGTGTTGCTCCTGTAACAAAATTAAGTCTCCTAATCCATGACATGGGATGTTTTTCCCTTTACTTAGGTCTTCCTTAATTTCTTTCAACAATGTTCTGTACTTTTCATTGCACAAATCTTGTACTACTTCAGTTAAATTTAATCCTCTGTCTCGGGTAAGAAAAAATTTTTGTAACCTTAAGAGTACCTTTGAGAACAATTCAAACTATACGTGCAATTAGATTTCATACATTAAGGGCACAGATAATGGACAATGATTCACAGAATAAATTAGGCAAGGAAATGAAAACCTTTATAAGAGGATTCCAAGAAGATTTTAGAACAATATTATGATATGTTGGGGGGGGTGGGGGTGGAGGGAAGATCTCATTTATGATTCTCAATTGCCCCAATTTAAAACTTATCAATACAGAAATTTAAAGTAGCACCTTCTGATGGTAAACTTTCAGTTAAAGTGATAGACTTTCATTTTATTCATCTGTAGGTTTGTTATTTCCCACAAATCTTGTAAAAGCTACTTTCAGATTGAAATCTACATGCAGATCTAAAAATTCAATACAAATAAGAAAGCTAAAACAAAACCATTCCCACTATCCAGTTAACAGTGTGCATTCCTAAACCCCTTCTTTAGAAGCAATCCTACCCCAATCATAATATTCTATGTGCAGGTAGGAAAAGCCAATAAAAATGTCTCAAATAATGGGTTTTCTTTAATACTCATAATAGAAAGTCCTTCTGAATAATGCTAAGATTCCCATTCTATTTTATGTATTATAAATGTGTGTGCTGCTGCAGTCCTTAAACAGTAACAGAGAAACCACCCTCCCATTTCTGAAGAGTTTACAATCTAACATGAAAGTCTGACATTTTTTTCACTGAAATATTGATCAACCTGTTATAAGCTGCCAAGGCCCATAGTACTTCTAACAGGCAAGACTATTTACATTCATTAACCCTAATCAGGCACATACATTTACACTGAAAAAAGTGTATTTAGCAAAGGAAACAGGAATTGAGAAAGAAATAGGAATTTTCAAAAGTGCAGATCTCTGGGTCAGAAAGATCCCCTGGAGAAAGGAATGGCTACCCACTCCAGTATTCTTGCCTGAAGAATTCCAATTCCATGGACAGAGGAGTCTGGCTACAGATCATGGAGTCACAGAGGGTCAGATGATAAGAGTTTCCTCTATTACTCTTAGAGCAAGTCTAAAAGAAACGTGTCACGTGGTCTGTGCTACAAGCAGCTTGGAAACTCCAGGACAGACACCACGTTTCCACATGAAGCTGTCACAGGGAAGGCAGTTTCATCTAGCTGGAGTTAGATGACTTTACACAGCGTCCACACCTCAACCTGAGATCTCTTCTCTGTGACTAACAGGGTCAATGTAACACACTGATGTCTGCAGGCAACAAGTAAGTTGATGTAGTGTTTCGCTTGTGACCAGCACAGGTTTGGCTGAGTCCGAAAGCTTAGGAAAAGGCATCAGGAAATCTCTGGTCTCAGACTCCCAGGGATGAAAGACAACAAGCAGAGAGGAGCCACAAAGATTCAGACTAAGGAAGGGGAAAGCTGCTGGTAGCCAGGCTTCCAGCAACACAGAGCCCGAGAGCCAAAGACTGGCTGTGCTAGAGCAGAGGGACTGCAGGGGACTTAAAGACACGGAAAGGCAAAAAGGAGGACAGGTTTTCCTCTCCTCTCCTAGGGGCAAGGTGGGCTGGGTGGTATTTTGAAATAGGCAGATGTGGTCTTCTCTTTCTTATCAATTTCTTCTACCCTTTCCCCAGGTGTCCAGTGGCCTCAATCACCCCCACCCTCAGTCCAGGTGCCCCACTCTGGTCTAAAAGCTAAAGAGACGACCTGAAGCAAATGTGAGTGATCAGAGGGATCTTGCATCTTCGCAGGGGAACTATCAGTCAGCATCTACATTTCCACAGTCCAAATAAACCTCCAGGTGGCTGGAGGTTTCAGAAATGAAACACACTAGTGCGTGAGGGACAAGACCCGGGGATCCAGGCTCTGCCAGGAGCTGCCTCACCCCTCAGCACCTGCCCCCACACTTCCTCCACTTTCCACACAGAGGTTTCAACCCTCATCGCCCCTTCAGGGTTGGCCTTTTCCAAAATAACCTATGAACTGGTACACGGAACTGCCTTTACCCAGCAAGGAAACAAGCAGGCATAAGGGCAGGTGCTGAAGATACTTGCTGCTCAAACCAATCAGAGACCTGCCACATGGATGGCATCTCAGAGCAAACTCCCTCGTAAGAGGAACAAGGAAACTTGTGCCCTTCCAGGACTTACATTCTTGGATGCTTTTTTTTCCCCTTTCTACACAAAGAAACATTCAGAGTGAAGTTTTCAACAAACTTGACTATAGGGAAAAAATGCTGGAGAATTACATCACCTTAAATGCTCCAACTGTCATTTGTCAAGAAACCATGATTTGCAAACAACCTTCTAACCTCCCGCTGCACCTCCCATGACAAAT